CACACTTTGCTGCTCCCACGACATTCATACAAAATTAATGAACACAAACTTCACAAAGTTCTTTGTGCAAGAGGTGTGGCAATGGCCACCAAACAAAATATCTCAGGTATGGTCTCTCTCTCTCTCTCTCTCTCTCTCTCTCTCTCTCTCTCCCCTCCTTCGGTCTTCTCCAACAATGGCGATGTCCCGATTTACAAGCGCAGCAGGTACTCTGCTAATTTCTCTCTGCCTTGGCATTTTCATCCTAGTGCTCGTTCTCATGGTTGTGCCGTTGATGCCGAATGGTAGTGACCCTGGTGTGTACTTGGCGCGCATTAATAACAGAGGAGCAGAGGTCTCTGTCTTAGAGAAGATCTCAAGCAGAGGCAGCGATGGCCGTAGCGATGGTGTTGATGGTCTTTATTCCGGTGAAGAAGATGCGATGAGAGTAGGAGTAGGAGGGGTAGGAGGAGGAGAAGGAGGAGGAGGAGGAGGAGTAGGGGGGGGAGGAGGAGAAGAGAGTGGGAGTGATAGGAGTACACCAACATTCGAAATCGAAGATGAAGTAGGGCCACCTACTGGAACTGGTCGTGTGGAAGAGGGAGGAGGAGGAGGAGGAGGAGGAGATGGAGGAGGAGAAGGAGAAGGAGAAGAAGAAGAAGAAGAAGAAGAAGAAGAAGCTGAGTCGAGACAGGCAAGGATCGAGGGATTGAAGAAAGCTTGGGAGGTGTGTTTCCTTGATTCGAAGGGAGGAGGAGGCCAGGGGGGGAGTGGGAGTAGTGCTGGAAGGCCTGGGTGTAGGGTTTATCAGCCTGGCAATTCGGACAACAATGGGGTAGTTAACAAGCAGGGCACTTCTCAATCAAGCGCGCAATCATCATCATCATCATCAGCAGCAGCATCAGCATCATCAACGTTTTCTTCGGTTTCGTCATTGATTGCTTCTTCGTTATTGGAAAGAGGGGTTCCATATGCGCCGCACATTCAAGACTGCAAAGCGTTGGATCGGAGGAACAAGAAGATGGACAGTAGGGGTCGGGACGGGTCGCTACCGATATGGATGGAAGGAGCGGGGCTAGGACACGTGTCGAGCGAGCGGGCTCTGTCTACAGGTTGGATCAATCAAGAAAACCGCATGTTCAGCGAGCGACCGACGGCAGTACTTGGACCCTACCCTCCCTGGGTGAGACCTTCTTCCCTCTCTCTCTCTCTCTCTCTCTCTCCCTTTATTCCCGGCCTGCCTTCATCACTCCCTGTCGTCCGTATCTGTCTCCTTTTGCCACCCCCTTCTTCCCTCCTTCCCTCGCCCCCCGCTTTTGTAGCTCAAATTCTCTCTCTCTCTCTCTCTCTCTCTCTCTCTCTCTCTCTCTCTCT